ATAGCTTCAACTAAATGAGCATTGAGGTCTGCATTCCAGTACAGAATCACATCGTCACCAGATCTCCCTCCTTTGTGGTCAGCCCGGCAGAAATGATACCCGGGGATCTGCATCTCCGAGTCCAGGATGTCCGAGGACAACCAGTCTCGGTGAAAGCCTTTATAGCATGACGATTCACTGAGGCAAAAAGTTGAATTTCATCGAGTTTGTTTCGAATGCTGCGCACATCAGCGGAAATCACGCGCATTCCGTTCTTCACCTCTAACGCCTGGGTATGACAAGAAGTGGTTTCCAGCGACTTTTGGTAGCTTTTCGGACTACGCGAAAATTCAGGATATATTAATCTGTCTCACCGTTGTCTCGGCGGGATCTGAGTTCGTCAACCGCTTGTTACATTTTCACTCGATCCTCCGGGGAATGTTCTCGCAATACATAAAATGACTCAGCTTTAACACGCGGAGCGCGTCGAAGGATGCGACGGGCCTCCTCATCATTTTGACCTACGTTTTTAAGTGGACGAACCTTTGAGGAGTCCGTCTGTTTCTTGCCGAGGCGGAGAGCTGAAACAATATTGATTCCTTGTTCTCCTTCATCGAACAGTAAAGCGATCATCAGTTGTAGGAACACCTGGTCATCTACAGTCCTCTCAGCTGGGATGGCCTTGGTCGACTCGGCTGCATTCACGATGATAAGGCAGCAGTCGCGAGATGGCGATTTGGCTTTCTCCTGGATCTTCGGCTTCAGAACAGACGGGCCATCCTTCAGCAGTTTCTCCAGTTGATCGACTCTATCGAGAACCAAATGCAACTGCGATTGAGATGATGAGGACTTGGATTTTAGCTTAACTCCTGTCTTGCTTTTACGTTCAACATTTCGTATGTTTTCCTTCACCATTCCTGCGTACGTGTTGATTTTAGACTGGTCGCTCTGGTCAGCAACCGCTGGCCTCCCCGTAGGTGAGTTGGACGGTTCTCGATTACGCTTACCCCTTGGGGTAACTGCGCCAGAAGCACATGAGATAAGGCAAGGAGTTGGTAGCGAGACAGCAGCGATGTTCATCTCAGCTTGAGCAGGAGAGGAGAGCGGACCGGGCGCAGGCAGTCCGTCAAGACATCATCTGTTACTTATTGTAACGCGGCACAGATCGCAAAGTAAACCTAAGCCTGGAACTTTGGATTGCAGGAGAATTTCGTACAATTCATGTCTGACTCCACAGCATGCTATTTGCGTCCACCCATCACAGACGGTGCGCTGCAAGGCTTTGGAGCGCGAAGTAACTTCTTTAAAACATGACAAGCATTTAGAGGGCATAGAAGATGAAGTCCAAATATTAACCAGATGACTCTCCGAAACTATCTTGATTCCTTTTGCTTCGATCAAAAGACTTCAATGAAACAGGACATCGCTATCCGGAGCAAACATAGGTTCCTTAGTGATTGTTTTACGCATAATGTGCCAACTTCCATTTATGCATCGTCTAACCGTCTCACAGGACAGCGGAATGTTTGCAACCGTTAGTTACCTCGACATACACTTTGCTTTTGACCAAGTGCTCAACAAATCGAACGCAGGTGGGACAGATTCGGTAACACACTTCTGGACCAATAGCAGTCATGAGTGGTGTAATACATGGTGGTTCTCCGCCGTCCTTGGCGCAAGTGATATCAGACCCAGCGAAATTCGGAACACTGCGTTTTTTCCGACTTGTTCTACATTACTAATGAGTAGACGGATTTGGATATTAATGTTGGATTTGAATATGACTTTATTTGGTGCATCGCAATTATGTTGCAAGCCGAATGGGTGAGCTACCAATGCGAAAAAGCATCACCGTTTCGTCTCACCTGGGGCCGCCTGTGATGCGCATTCCTCCGGTCCTATTGTGCGACTCGAACCGATGACCACCAGTGGTTTGCACCATCACCCAACCGCTTATGGCACTGCGCCGTGGTGGACAGCGATCGATCAACACGGATTAAAATCTAACTGCGATATGGCCTGACCCAGCCTCCACTGTCATGCAGGTTACTGCTCGTGCAAAAAGTACTGGTTAGCCGTCCGGGTCAAGACTATCCTTGCCATGGCCGTGAATTCACACCACATGGTTAAGACTGGTAAGGCTTAGTTTTTGATTACTAATATGTAGACGGATTTAGGTATGGTATGATAATGAAGAATGGGTTGAGCTATATCGCAATTAGATTTCAATGGGTGATGGTTGGCTACCATCACCCATGGTTCTGTGGCTGGCTAGTGGTACAAACCACTAGTGGTGATACCAAATGAAACGAAACGCTCGTCCGGTGCTTTTCCGTATTGGTAGCTCAACTGCGGTGATAAACGAAATAGAATGATATTAAGATTGTCTATACTTTTCACCCTGCCACCGTAATCGAAGCTACCAACATGATCTTGCTCGACCTTCAAGCGCACGGAACCCATTGCTCAAGGTGAAGAATGTTATCTACGACATATAAGGGTTTCGCAATGTCTTTGAAATGGGGTCATAACGTCTAGTGGTCTGAACGTTTGTGAAAAGGCAATTAATATATGCCACAGGTTTCGGGACTTTGAACTGAGACACTCATACTTGCTGAATGTATCCGAACAAATAGGTTACGTTACTTTAAACGCCATGCAGGGTATTGGAATGCTATTTATAACATATTAATTAACAGAATTTGTACTCTGCGCCTATTCAACACTCTCATGTTCACTATTGGAATACTGCCTAATGGTGCACAGTAACACAAACAAATGAGACCGGATTGTAATAGTAGAAAATGTACAATGAATATTCACAAAATGCTTATTGGCTGCTTCATCGAAATTAGTATATTTAAAACGATGTGAGGAAATTAAACCTAAAGCCCTCTGGTTGAAGCTCATGAAACACAATCTAGTCATACATTTTAACCCTCTACTCAGGAAAATACATGTTTCCAACCTTAACATTGTAAGAGTATAATCAACAATATACAATACACGAAATAAGAAAAATCCAGTAGTGGAACCCAGGTCGAAGACCACCGGATCCGAAAATTTCTTCCTTAACAGAAATGCGCGAATCTGGAACAAATTACCAATCAAGATACGTGCCTGCAATTCAGGACAGGAATTTCACAAAATAACCAGCACATATTTGACTGTGCAGAATGAGATCCACCTATTGGGATGTAACATAACTAATAACCCGAAGTTATCAGCAGTACGCCGATTCGCAGTACCGACACTGCTGCAGCGTAACCACCAACGGTCGAGCCTGGGCTACGCATACTGCGAAGGTCGCCCGGTGCCATCCGATCGCTCGAACCCCGCCCTCGGATTACAAATTACGCTTATGAGCCTTGATGCATACAAACAAGGCCCAGGCTTTCTATGCTCCAGAAAACAGGCCACAACACCTAGTGAGTCTTGAAGTGAGAATGCCTATACACTCACCGTCTGTAGCTTCTTTCTTCTTCCTCCTACACGGCTATGCCAAACCAAAAGTTAACACCTGCATGTGTGTAATGAAAGAAACGGACAACCGAAAACACCACTAAATTCTCGGTCTTCATTCTCGATTTTCCTATTACTCATATTGTAGTCTACTCTTCCATTTCCCTTTTGTTGGCGTCCTCTTGGTTCAGTCGCCCGCGAGTGCCACAGCCAACATTCGAAATTACTGAATGGCCTCGAGCAATGCAACCGACAAAAAGTGTCATAAAACATTTATACCTATATTAAACACACTTTTCTAGTATCTAAAAACAGATTATAGGCGTTTCGTATTCATATTCTTAAGTGGATTGCCAACATTCAAGGGGACATATTTGTACCATATAATACAGCGGCACAATGACCAGCAAAGATGCCCTATCAAAATTAAAACTCGGTTTTATTAGTGTACATTTGTAGATCATTCGTGGTCGTATCACTAGGAATGTCTTTCAATTACCTGAACAAGCCGTTATCGTTGTGTCCGGGGAAAAGGAGAATATACAATTTATTCATAATGACGTTATTGGTACAGCAACCAAAATGGTAACCAGCATGGTTGACAGTCAATGTGGGAAGTCGCATGAACAACGTCTAGGGAGCTTAGGATTGTTTCAAAATAATCCAGAGTTCATTGTAGTGGCCTGGGCTGAGGGGCGACTTGGATAGAGACGTTTAACATAGTGATGAGCTTCAGTAGCGTCCAACCTGACTGTCCGTTTGTGCTAGCTGTGTCGCATCACCTGCGTGGACATCGTTTGATTCTCAGAGCACAGATGGTTAGACAAGATATCAGCTGAAGTAGGCTTACTTCTAACTTAATGTTCTGTGAGACCGTAATAGTCCCCAGAAAAGCTTAGCTCGATGTTGGTTAATGCTTGTTTCAGCACGTTTGTAATTACTAATGAGTATACGGCGTTGCGTATGAGCTTATTTGTTTCCTTGAAATTAACTTATAAACCACATAGTTGAGCTAGCAGTCTGGAAAACACCAAACGGTCATTGCACTCTATTGGGGCTCCTCAGTGGTGCGAATTCCTTCAATCCTGTGCTGGTGATTTAACCTATGACCGCTATGGGCTTGTACCACTAGCAAGCAGTTTATGCCATTGAGACATGAGGGACGATAGCTGACCATCACGGTTATCCGTAGTTGGCGAATAATCAGTAGTAGAGACAACTCTTGTAGTGAAATCTGATGTTGATCTAGCGAATGCAACGACTATTCTTGTTCTTGCATCGTTTCTTTTGCAGGAGCACGGAGCTGCAATCAAAAGTCGAAGTGCCGGGGCTCTGGTTCGCTTGTCTGCACAAGGGGCTCGAAACTGGTTGGGGGAAAGTCTGTAACTCCTATGGAATTTAACCTAATCTGACAAATCTCATGGATTTCCACTGTCTTTGCATTTTGTCCACCTACCCTTACCAGTGTTTGCCGTATTCTGTCTCTCTGCTTTTCTGCTGTGGCGCATGTACCTGTGTCGAATTTACACCCAGGGATAATATGCTTTTTAATTTTTCAGCCAGCTGAATCTATTTCAGCCCCATCGCGAACCACTGTGCACTGTAAATCTGCGGATGATTGGTAATGACGGACAGGCGTTACGTGACGACAAAGCGCATGGAATGTGCGTTGACGACATACCAGATTCACGTTTAGCTTGTTTGAAGGATAACCGAATACATGGTCATGATAACCCTACTGAAGGTATTAAATATTGTAATAACATTCACTGCATTCAGACGCGCTTCTAATTGCTCAACCGAGATCAGGTGACGCGCTGCGCTTCGTGCCAGTTGAAGGAGTAGAAAGCGGCACTTTCAATCTTCAAGGTTCGGAGACCTCAGAATCTTCACTTGGAGCCTCCATAATTATCGAGTTGCTGGATAACTTGCATTATAAAAAACTGATGACTGGAACGCAGGCAGCAGCTTACAAGAATCACTATCTTAAAATGTGCAAACTACTTCTGGCGTAAGTCGGTATGACTGCGACATGAAAGTGAAAACATCACGTTTTCTTCATGATATGGACATTATAAGGGAGCAAGTTATCTATTAACAATTTCTTTTGTTTGCCACGAGTCCAATTACCGCTAGCTCGGCTTGGCGGTTGAAGTCTTTATTGGTTCACCGAACTGAGCACTTGGATTGCAGACGTTTCACCACCAATCGAGGTGGCATCTTCAGTGCGTAGTGATAAGTAGCTTGATGGCGATACTGAGCTTCGAGTAAAGCCAGCTCATTATCTGCTATCAAGCTACTTATCATTACGCACTGAAGATGCCACCTCGATTGGCGGTGAAATGTCTACAATGCAATTGCTCAGCTCAGTGAAACAATCAAGCCTTCTATTTCTTTTGTTGCCTATTTATACATTAATTTAGGTATTAGATTGAAAACTAAAACCGCCTCACTGACTATTGCTTATCCGGGCATGTTGATATACTTACCGCATGTATACTATCCCACAGGTTTTACTGTTCCCCGGTAATCACCCCTGGCTTACTGCAAAAAGACTGTTTTAACTGTGCGATGAATTAAACATATTTCCGGATGTGGTGGCTAGCTTGGAGATTCCTTAGTTTATTTGTTTATTCATAAACATTTGGCACTTGCCTGAATTTTTCCTCTAAGATCCTAAGTGACCTCTTTCACCCGCCACATAATGCTCTCTCACCAACGTTAGCTGTCCGTCACACGTGTTTAAAATATAAGATTTTATTCCACACTTCTTTGTATCGTAGAATACCCGTCCCTTATTTGTCAAATTTTCTTGTCGACCCAAATGAAGTCCTAAATGGTTTGCGCATCCGGTTCCTTGAATGACAACTATACACCTTTGGCTTTTTAACCTTTGCAGTTTGTAGTTATAAATTTTAAGCTGGTCCCATCATTCAGTGTTTTTGCAGTTATAAAAAATGATGAGAGTGCACCCACTTGGGTGTATAAAGCCTATTTTGACTAGACTTGCAGGAGTTTAAAATGAACACTTTACTGTAATTAGGTAATAGAAAATCGACAGCATAAGCGGGTAATGCTTAGCATGGTGCATTACTCTCATGAAGCTGCCAGCTGGGTGGTTCGGATTAATCCCGTTCCAGTAACTGGTTCGTCGGCAGTGTTCCAGGATGTGGTGGGTTTCCGCATGACAATCTCGCTCCCTAGAAAAAACTACCAATGTCTGTATAACAACACTGCGACTTGGCGGATGTGACTCGCCACTAAATACAGTCACTGCTGCTTGCCTTTTCGGAGGATCTTACGCACATCACAAGCGGCATCCAATTCGAACTCTTCCTTTGATCTTAGTTCGATGGATAATCCGACGAGCAAAAACGCAAATTCAGAGTCACATTAACAACCTCACTCAACATGACTACTTGCACATACACACAAACAACTAGATGCATATATACATATATCTCGATGGTTAACCCGTAATTCTTCTGTACAAGTACCGTTCACACGCGTTTTTATTACCATAAGTATGCCTTTACATGAGTGCTTCACACTGCCGAGGGTAAGCTAATTAATGAAGCATTTATTTATTTATTTGTATAAAGTGGGCGTGATCAGACCTCAGCAGACCAACACATACAGCAGCCGAGTGCCAAACGAGTACAAACAATTATGAACAAGTTCTAAGATGGATTAAAACAAGCACAAACCAAGCCCAGTTCCATTTTACGGTGCAAGTGCTATATATGAGTTACCGTATATTATCGAAGATAAGCCCGTACATAGATAAACTGACAGTATGACTTTGCCACATCAAGTATGCCCAAATTCGTAAGTCCCAATATTAGCTGACCCCTAAAATGTCAGCAACAGAGAACTGAAATTGTTTCCTCACGATTTCGAAGTCAACACTCTTTGCTCCCACTTGACTGGGTTCAAGTGCAACCTGCTCTATTATTGGTCAGCTGTGGTGACCGTAATGTCATCATCGGGGTTAGTGGGGCGTAGGACCGTTAGAACAGACTTACACCGCACCGGATAGTGTTTGGATCAGATGTCAAGTCACACGAAACAGGTTGGACAGCCCCCCAATATAGGTTAAGATGAGTGTGTCTCAGACCTCATGCATATAAACAGCAGTAGAGAAGTGGGTAAGTACAAAATTCACAGTCAGAGGTGTGGAACGACGTAGCACTTTTAATGCACTGAATCGTCTGGCCTAATATAATGCTCAAGGGCTTTGGATTCACTATCATCATCCGTCGTGAACGTTAGATGTGCAATATACCGAGATTTTTCGACACCAAACTAACGTGTCCAGTTATACGCACTTAAAATCCCTGGCTAGAATACCGTCCGTCACTAGCGAGTGGTACTAATGGGAGATAAGAGCAGAGGCATGCAGTGAATTCCTTGGTTCCTTTTGCTTCGGTTTTTTCAAATCGCAGTTCCCCTCTACAGAAACAACAAATTTGTCTTAAATTTCTCTGCTTATATCCAGTACTATACGGTATTTTTATGCTCGTTCCATCAGCACGATTTATACTCGTTAGCCAGTGGCGGATAATACCCCAGCTATTGTGCAGCAATGAATAGGAAAAGAAAAGAACAAAGAGAAAAATGAAACAGATGCATGCCAGCTGAACCACCAGCGACGGAAGTGCATTGTTCCGGAAGGCTGTTAGCCTGTCACTGTGCCACACAAAATTATATTATGCTACGAAATGAGATCGCGATAGGAGGGAGAGGCTCAGCGGGAGGAAGAGGGACAAACTAATTCACAACACAAACACCACTGAGATTGGCTCCTGGCCATATCAGCAAGTGTATCCAGCCAAACATCTTCTTCATCTTTCGGGCCCCAAACGGGGGGCCGAGAAGCTCCAAGCGACGACAACTTCGAAGTGAGGGACTTCATTCCTCTTGACCAAATCAATGCTTGACATCATTTCCTCTTCTTTCATCCGCACTACCGACGTGAAAACAACGCACCTCGCAGGTGTCGGTGTGCTGGCATGCGCAACACGTGACACTGAGGCGGCCAGAGCATCATTAAATTTCTTGAGAAAAACTACATAGAATTGCGTGGGTACGATGTCGTCAGGTTGCCAAGACCTAGACAGGAGAACCATTGGGGTTCTCAACCAAAGCTTTGAGTTCAAACAGCTGACCGCAGGTCAACGAGTTTGGCAGTCCGGTACAAGGAGTCGGTTTTAAGGAATAAGTAGGCACGGAAACATTATAGTGTTGCTCATCCCAACACTGGCACCCCAACCGCGGTTTCGTCCTGGTTGGGACTCATCAGTTGGAGATAGCCAGAGTTGGGCTGGAACTCAGAGCTTAGTGGCTCACGGTTGACGTCATAAGCACTATGCCACTGAGATCCGCGAGCAACGCTTGGTGCAGCGAAAACGAATTCAAAGTTGGACTTGAAGAATCCGCTGGTGGTTGGGTTGCTACAAGCAACCTCTATTGAGACTTCGGTCCACTTGAGGTGGACCTCGGTCCACTTGAGGTGGACCTCGGTCATTCCGATCACAAAGACCGTAAGTAAAATGGAAACATTATAGTGTTGCTCGTCCAAACACTGGCACCCCAAAAACAACACTGATATGTTTCCATTTTGCTTACGGTCCTTGTGATCGGAATGACCGAGGTCCACCTCAAGTGAACCGAAGTCTCAATAGAGGTTGCTTGTAGCAACCCAACCACCAGCGGATTCTCCAAGTCCAACTTTGAATAAGTAGGCACCCGCAATACAATCCAGGACAAGGAGGCTGAATTTGTCTGACCTCTAGCCATTGACCACTCTGGTATGAGTGGCTCTAAAGGTGCGAGCGCCATGCAGCATAGCTAAAAGCCTTTCTAAGGCAGGTAAGCTATCGCACCATGGTAACGTCCAGTCTCATTTCATTATGTAACTTTAGATTTCAGTTGACGAACTTCTATGCATCACAGTCTGTATCAAATGTTTTTCAAAAGAACTCATTCAGAAACCGATATAATTAATCCAAGCAAAGTGTAAACGTCTGTTTTATTTATAGCATTTTTATGTGTGTATCTTTTTCAACCAAATCCCACTAAATGCAAAATTGTCATCACCAGCTTCCACGCTGGGCGTTAGCATTTAACATCACCAAAGAAACCTACACCATGCCCTAATTAGAGGTTCAGTTAATGTTTGCGTACAGTGTGCTAACATTATTTTCTAGGCCGGCTAAGTGGACTGTAAAAGCAGAATAATAAACTTAACAAGCCATACTACCTATAATGGTCAAAAATGGCAAAATGGAAAAGTATAAATATCAATAGAAACCATGATAGAAAAGAGATGGTTTCGACGTGCAGGATTCGGGTTCCGGGTGGCACAAGTTCCCTTTCGACGAATAACAGTGCCACGTCCATTAGTAACGTCCTAAAAAGCTGAGTACATTACTTGAAAACACGTTATTGTAAACCTGTTCGTATGCTTTTGTACTTCACTGGACCGAGGAAATTGAATCATCATAAGTTATCCTAGCTCCTTGTTAACTACCAGTATGCTGCACTTAAAGGAGCAGTTTCCTAAGGTACCGCAAATAAACCAGTGGAAATACACAACAGATGTCGTAGTCTTTGAGCCAACTTCGTATCATCCCACAAAACTATGCCTACAACCATCCTGTCTTAAATCATGCGTGTGGTGCAGGCCTGGACATAATATTCTATGTTGGGCTTAACAAAAACTGTATACAACCTACTAATCATTTAAATCGTTGAGATTACGAATGATCTACGAAGCATCCAAAACGAGCATGACTCGTACTAATCTTGGAGAGAAAGATGCTCAGGTTAAACGGTCGGATCACATGTTCATGACGCGTGGGTGACGCATCGGTGGGTAGCTGAACTGAAGCGCAAAATGGCACATTTGGCATGAGTTACGGTTACCTGCCATATTGTTCTTATCACTATTTATAAAATGGTGAATATATGTACCAGAACTCACTATCTACTTTTGTGAACATTATCTAA